GCACAGATACAAGTGGGAAGTGGGGAGGGGTGCCTCCTAACTGCCCATGGTATGATTCATGTCTGTGTTGCTAATTCTCTTGGCAGTCTCAGTGACTTTGCTTCTAACAAAAAACTCAGAGGCATCTGTAGAAACAAAAATATAAACAAACACTGAAAGATAGGCTGCCAATTTCTTGATATGTGACTGACAGTAGCAGGATTTTTAAGTAAAACATTAAGATGATTTTTCTTTGCCATTTTTCTCTCGACATCTTAAAAGTTTGACTCCTTTACTTCCTTAATACATACTTTTGTACTCTGAATAAAGTGAATTTTTGTGCATCATTTCTTCATGATATCACTTCTAAGAACGCAGAATTTCCCTGGACTTCAGCTGAACTACAGACGCTTCTGCTACCACGAAATGTTGGGAAATTCTTATTTCCTGCTCTGCTCCCTATCAAAGCTACCTTAATTCCATGGGCATCGTGGCTCTACCTGGGAAAGTTTACTAGGCTCTCCCCACTCTACTTCTGCATTTATGGCTTGTTCCACCTTAGCGACTGGGAAGTTGATTAGGCTGGGTGGAGACAGAAGCAGCCTGAAAAGAGAAGTTGGCTTCTGGTGCTTTCATGGTTGTGCCATTTTCCACTTTGGTCACATTTTCTTCTCTCCTTTATTTCCCAACCAAGGAGCTCAGTGTCCTTAGGCCTCTCCCCTCTGGAGCCCTAAACCACCTAGTTTGGCCCCCTTTTCAGGCCAACTGTTAGCAAGACAATCAGATTACATTCACTGTACTGAAATGTCAATACAACTTAGCTTCCGTGTCCCAAACCTTTTTTCTAGTAGTGGGAGGTATTGCTTGCCAACTCAACTGCCTAATGAGTCTTAGAATCAGCTATTTCCTCTCCTACCTAGGAAACTATCAGTTTAATTTTCTTCCTGAAGGAATGACCCCAGAAATAATCAGATGGACAAAAATAAATGATGTGTTTTTTATACTTACGGTTTATTTGTTCCTGGTAACCATATAATTACTATGAGTATCAGATTTGTTGGACTGTAAATGTATTTAACTTCTACCCCAAACTCCATGTATGTTTATTCTTCAGTTTATTTCTCTGGTGACATCAGCAGTCACTCACAACCTAACCAAAATTAGAGAACTCTGCTCCCAACCAAAGCTCAGATCAGATCTTTCTCACTTTTAACCCCCAACATACAGGCTTCAGATTAGACTGTTTTATCACATATTGGCAATAAAAATTCAGCACTTTCCAAGGGAATCTGGGATTGCGAGAGAGATGTTTTATGATATCACAACACCTCAAAATTGATCCCCTGCATTTGCTTTAGCTCTTTGTATTAGTCATCTATTGCTGTGTAACAAATCACCCCCCAAAACTTAGAACCTTAAGGCAATAAGCATTATTTCCACAGTTTGTGTGGGTCAGAAAGTTGGGGGCAGCTTAGCTGGTGATTCTGGCTTAGGGTCTATCAGGCTGCAGTCATCTGAATGTTCGACTGGGGTGGAGGAAATCTGCTGCCAACATGGCTCTCCTACATACATGGCTGGTAAATTGATACTGGGTGTTGGGAGGAGGCCTCCATTCCTCCTATGATAACCATGGGGCTGTGCCTGTCTTCACAGCATGGCAGCTGGCTTCCTCCAAAGCAAGTGATCCAAGAGAGAAAGGCAGAAGCTACAATGTCTTTTATGACCAATAACCTCAGAAGTCACATACTACCATTTCTGCAAAATCTCACTGGTAACTGAGGTCAGCCCCACTCAGTGTGGGATGGAACCACACAAGGGTATGAACACCAGGAGGCAAGGACCATTGGGGGCATCTTAAAGGCTAGTTATCCCACTTATCAGGTCACTCTTTCCATCATAAAGGAAACAGAAATTCCCTGAATAAGGAATGTGGCCAATCTAGTGGTCCCTGAAGAGGAATTTCCCTCTTATTATTAAATTTGCATTCTTTGTTACATTCGACTTGTGAGATAGTGTCAATAATTGCTAAGAGCCTTATTAGCTATGAGCACAGCAAGAAAAACTTCCTTCTAGATAACTCCTGGGTCACTGTGCTATGCCAAGCAGTTTTTTTTTCCTGGCTCTATGTTCTTTGATGTTCTCCTGTATGTGCTACTGCATAAGGCCTTCCATTCAAACTTAGAACTTAGACTCTGTTCTGACAGGTGGCTGCTGAATTATTTTAAGTAGGGGAGAGATTATTCATATTTGCATTTTGTTAAGTTCATTCTGTTTCCTGTCTTTAGGATGGATTGGTGGTAGGGAGGGAAATGGGGCAATGCTGGAAACAGAATCCCTTATCACAGATAAAGTTTTACAGCTCTCAGCACTTGATACGATTCCTAATTTCCTCATCAACTAACCTGAAGTTCAGCAAGTTAATCTTTTTTAACTTAATCATTTATTTAACAAACATTTATGGGTCTCTACCAAAAGCCAACCACTGTTTGGACACTGGAGATGCATATAACAGTGAATATAACAGACAAAAATTCCTGCCCTTATGCTGCTTAAATTTTAGTGAAAGTAGACCAATTGAACAAATGAGTAAAGTTTTATGGTCACTGACAGTGATAAATGCTATGCAGAACAATGAAACAGAGAAGGCATCAGGAAATCATTTGTGTTTTAGGGGAATATTGTTGGATACGATTTTAAATACTGTGGCCAAGAAGACCCAAGAGACCTGAAGGACAGAGCTATGTGGACAGAGGAATAACCCATAAAAAGTTCCAAAGGCAGAAATATGGTTCATGTTTTTGCGAAAGGCAGTTTATAGGTAGTGAGCTGGAGGAAGTCAGATAGGTAAGTGAATCCCACCTAGGGAAATAAATTCCTCTCTTCTGGGCTGCCAAAGTGCCTTATGCGTTTTAATCTCTTATTACATCAGCAAATTAATCTTGCCTGAACAATGGTGTGTGCTGGTAAATGTTTCACAAACAGCTCTCAAAAGTAAAGGGAGGGAGGGAGGGAAAAAAAGAGGGAGAAGAAAAGAAGAAAAAGAGAGAAATAGATTGTAACTTGTAGAATTTGTCCATTTCTGTGGCATAAATATTTCCACCATGGCCAGTTTCAAGTAACTGGTGTCACTGAACAGGGAGTTGGGAGGAGGTGCACAGTTGGCCAGTACCACCTGGCTCCAGTGGCCAGGAGCAGGTTAGCAGGTTGGAAACACGACAGGGCAGTTGAGCCAAAGCCCTCATTCACATGGCCAGCGAGGGGGAAGATGGGCTTCCTGTTCACCCCAGAGTGGGGCTGCCAGGCCCTGGGCCTTCCCACTCCCTGCAGCAGTCTCCTGGTGCTAAAATCCCCACTGGGACCTTCTGGACCACAGAGTTAGCCTGAGAGTGAAGGCAAGAAAAGGGCCATGGGGGTAGAGGAAACATTATGTTAAAATACAACTGAATTATCCTAATTTACCAGAAGTATCCCTTCAAACTGATGAGTGTGAATCTTGGAGAGAAGCCACTGATATAATGCAGTTCAAGTACTGGTAATGCCTTTTCTCTTCATGAAAAGCTGCTACCTTTTCCTAGAAAGCAAAACCCTGGAGACTTAAACACACACACTCTATCTATGGAGGATTTTAGTGAACAAAGACCCTTCAAAATCATGATTACTAGTCTCCTGCTAACAGGACCCAGCTGCACTGGGTTTTTCATACAAAATGGGTTTTTCATACACTAGGTTTTTCATACGGAAAACTCTCTCTCCTTCCCTCACCCACCATCTCACTTAGTTCCTCAAAATTTACTGAAGAATTTGTTTTACAGGACAGTCTGGAATGCTGGAATATTTCCAAACAAAATACAAGAAACAAGCCCAAATTCCCTGTCAACATGAGATTTGGATATGAGTACTAGGCAGGCTGTAACTGAGCTTTTTCTCTGAGTCCCACAGTCTTGCAGGGAGGAGTAACGGGCTCTGTGTGCCCCGCACGGACACAGAACCTTCCTGGGTCGGAAGGCGGTTGTCTTACTGTGACACGCTGCTTTTCTTCCTTCTCTGCCTGTTTATTGCAGTAGGGACACATGGAGTTCTGCGTTATTCAGTGGGTTATAACCCATTACTATTATTCGTTCTGATGCTCGGATTTCCCAGACTCGGTCAGTGAGGGCCTCTTGGGGCTGGCTCCTCTGTAACTCGATAAGTCTCCATCATTCTTTGAGCATTTCCTCACTTTCTGGAAGAACAAGACATGTTGGGCTCATCTTGTACTTTCCTAGCCAGGACTAGAATCAGTCTTTTCTCCAAGGAGCTCTGCGTAGGGTGTATTTTTAAACACTGGTCTCGCATAGTAGATGCAAGTAATCTATAGTTCTCATTCCTGGTTGGTGAATCAGCCTCTTGTGAATCCGGTTAGCACGAAAGGATGTGCAAGCATTTAGTCACCCTCAGTGAGCCTGTCCAACTGAGGGGCGGACTCCACATTGTGGTGTGTTAGTCACCCTGCCTGAAGCAGCCTTGGGCTTCCAGTGCAACACATGGCTCTGCCATCTAAGGTCCCGAGGGCCCAGTGAGGAGTACACGTACGTGAGAACTATCCCAGGAGGCTGTCATCCAAAACACCAAAAGCTCATCCCTGATTTCAGAAACTTTAAGGTGACTTACCTGTCAGGACCACTTCTCCTGGCAACCTCAAGTTCTGCAGAGTAAGGAAAGGTCCTCTATTTAACCATTTGGTAACTCCCAGTCTCCAAAATCACAGTCCATTAGGTAACTCCACTGATGAGGCAAATCTGGCACACTGATTGCCCTTAGTGCTTTTTCATGGATGTTAAACAGTCCAGTAAACTCCTAGGACGACTCTTAGAAACGAATAAAGGGTTCTGATGCTTCTGAAATAATAAATCCAGTTTTCCAATTGCTATTCTATATAGCTTTAAATGGGGCTGTGTCTTTAAATTTGCACATATTTGAAAAACATTTTTCAAAATGTTTTACCTTAAAGCACTGAGGAAAATGAAGATAGAATCAGAAACTTGTAAAAATACATCTTTTAATAACATCAAGAAGTACAGTGCAGTTTTATTGAGGTTTTACATTGCAGCTTACAACAAACATATGATCTATTACAGTGAATATTTACAAGTAAACAGGGTTCTTTCTCCCATGGCTGGATAAACCAAATCTGGTGCATCATACCACATTTAAGGTTGCTTTTCAAGCTGGCTTCTGTAAAAGGCCCTTAATATTAATGGCTTGTAACAAAAAAAGATCCCCCATCACAATGACAGCCTGATGAGTGCTCAAAAGTTACACACAAAAAAAATTATAAATACTTGCTTTCCTTTGATGGCTTTGAAGAATAGCTACTGATCGCAAATCTGAAATAGTAGAGACAAAAAGGGAAACAGCTGTTTCTTTTGTCTAATGAATCTATAATAAATACTGACTTAAGGCTACAGAGTAGGAAAAAAATCCAAAACATTCTTGTAGGAAAAGGTTAGCATTTATAGTTACGATCCCTTAGACTAAAAACTGTGTGATATATTAATGGTTGAGTCTACTTTTCTTTAACATTGTTTACACAAAGAACAGGGAGATAGTGGAATTCCTGACACTTCTGGGCAAAGTTAGTGAGGGGACTGAAATTAATTAGCAAAGGGGTAAATTAACATTAATCTCAAAATTCTACCTGCCATTGTCTTGGAATGACCAAGATTTAGCTCAATCTGACAAGAGTTAAAAGGAACAGAACTGAAGGAAATCAGGAGCTGTAACTAAAAACCCACAGCCGTGCATGCTTTCTCCTAACAGCATTTAGAAATGATAGACCTGGGTTTATTTGCTATATACATAAACTAGTGTTGGAATTAGAAAAAATAAAAGTACCACTTACATCCACAGAAGTACCAGAATCATACTCCAGATTTGTAAAGAGGCATAAGAACCTATTTACCATGCAACTAGCTGTTTGTGGAATGTTAAAACAGTCCAGTAATGGTTAATGGTTAATAGAACAAAATCCTTATGAACACAGTACTGATGTGTAGCAAATTACACCAATTAAGTAAGCAGCTCAAATTCACAAGGGTAAAGACCCAATATCCCTGAATTTCTAAGCATTCATCTCAGTATTAACATGGTTTCATCTAAATGTTAGCCCATTCGAAGAGATTTTAAATTCTCCTCCTTCAATACATCACCATACTTTCAGAGGTGAAAAGTAAACAGTTTCTCTACTGCTTTTGCCCATTCTCATGAATCTTACATAATGTTATTACAGTGTCTCAGCTACGGTAGGTGCTCTAAAGGATCCAATGAATTGAATTTCTAGGCTCCAGAATATTGCTAGCATTGTACAATAAGTTTGTCTACCAGAAAGCCATGTCTCTGGTTGAAATATATTCCTGGATCAATGACTGAGGAGTTACGAGCAGCTACCAATGATGTCAGACTCTTCCCTAATTGTCAGATAATAGTTTGAACTTCTCTATCAAAATTTTTTAGTGAATGGGACAAGGTCTCACACTTTTCATGTATCCTCTATAGTAACTACTAACATGTTGGGCAAAGATATATGCTCAAGGAAATACGCAATGAAGGAGCTGAGTCAAGAGTGAATGTGGTCATGGTGAAGCCATACCTTACTTCGCCCATCACTCAAAAGGCAGTAATGAGAGTGAACCTCTGATGTTTGTCACTGAAGAACAGATGCTTGTCCCCGGACACTGCCTAAAAGAGAGCAAGCCACTTGGGCCTCTTTTATTTTTTTCCTTAGTTACTAAGAGATTATACATGGGCATGAGTACCACTTAGTGGATGATATCTGTAAAAAAATGTTTTTCTGCCTCAGAGGAAGCACCAATCCATCTCATGGCACATTTTAACTACAAGAATATAATTTATAGAATCATTAACTCTTAAAATTGTTAACTGTTATCCATACTAATAGGTATTTAAAATGTTTGGCTTATTTTCTCTGGTATCACTTAAAATGCATTTTATTTTTAAACACTGGCATGAGGTAGAAGATAAGGAATTCACAAAAGAAAGTAATCTTCAAAATACCTAACTCTAACCAATGCAGTTGGCCCCGAGAGAACTAAGAAAAGTCACAGCCTTAAGCTGGTAGTCTGACTACTGTAAAGATTATTAATTACCATTACCTGAAAGAAATTTCTTATATCTGAAATTGCCTTTTTTTTAAACTGGTTTAAGGTATTATAGAAAAAAAGACAATACATATTCTGAAATATTTGTAAAGATCACATACAAAAGCTTCTCTTAGCCACCATTTTTTACACTACTATGTTGCTCTAAATCACCTCAATTGAGACACAGGTCCTTTCCACTTGAATTACTGACCAGACATCAATATAGAGGTAAAAAATCCTCCTAGCATAAGAAGCAAGATAAAAGGAATGATTCACATTTAAAATAATGTACTTTTCATAAAACTAGCAGCACTTCATTCTACCAGGACATACAAATTTGGCTTCATAGACTGGTCAGAAACAAAGGAAAATGTATATTGGTCCAAAACAGCTCCTTGTACAAGGGAAATGTGAGGCTAAATGTTTCCTTTAACAACTATTTCTCCATTAGGTGGTGTGTGAAACTACTGGAATGTCAATTTCAATGGCAGAGAGGCGGGAGCGTGCTGAATAGGGTTGTGAGTAAGTATGCATACTGGGAGGATGGGAGTAGAGTGGTTGCCAGAAAGGAGAAGGCAAAGATTTGCAGGCACAATACCAAATAAACAGCAGCAGGGAAGTCATAAACAGGCCCCCAGCACTAGCGATTGTGACATACACTGCATAGTCAAATGTAAAGACTGGCTCAAATTTCCTGTTCAGATGGGTGTTGTAAAAGAAGACCCAGATGGATGGGGAGAGGCTCACAGTACCTGCCAGGAAAAACAGCAGCCCTGCCACCAGGTGGCAGCCTGCACTATTGACCAGACACTTGGCCAGTTTGATGTTGGGCACCGAAGACCTGAAAGCTGTGTTACACATTCCAATCAGGCAGAGCAGCAGGGCACCCATTGCAATTAGGATGCTGAGGGGCAAGGCAAACTGGAGGACCCGCAGGTCCAGCTGGTCAACTGATGAATACCAAGTAGTGTCGTACATCAGGCAGTCACTGCTCCCATCGTATCGGGCACACTTCACCCACAGGCCCGTGTAGACAGTCAGGTTCTTCTCATTTCTGTTGAATGTGATCAGTCGTAATTTTCTCCAGTTGGGAAGCAGAGTCCCCGCAAAGAGGCCTGCTACTGAGGCGATTCCACACAGGAAGGAGAGGACTGTGGCTGCATGGACATCCCGACAGCCCATGGCAGGCAGGCAGGCTTGAGCAGTGCTGTCAGTCAGACTAGGGGGGCCACACACAAGAGGACAAATCATGAGAGAACAGAAGAGCAGAGTGGAAAAAGGTGGTGCTTATTGGCAACATAACTAATGATGTCATCAAAAAGAGAAAATTCTATCCTTATAGCCTCTATATGTACAATAAAAATGTTTATAAATACATGTGTGTGACACCTCAAAGCACAGGTGCGCGCACACACACACACACACACACACACACACACAGGCATACACACACCACAATTACCGCTGACTGGGTCACATAGCAACTAAAGTCTTTACACATGAGTATCTTCACAGCGAATCACAGGAACAACCAAATTAATTTCGAATTCTCTTAACACATCTTAAATCCTCTTGGTTGTCAATAAGCATTCCACACACATAAATTAAATACTTTCATGTGTCAGGCACTCAAACATATAGGGTCAGGGCATTCAACAACCATTAATTACAAACACTGTAAGTTCAGCCTCAAATGCTCATGCAAATGTAAAATGAGACTAGTGCACAACAGAGGTGAAGGCAGCTCATAAAAGACAAAGATGTAGTGAAAGCAGCACCACAGGAAAGCAGAATGGTTGAGGGCAGATGCTGAGGCAGACAGCCTGGGTTCTAATCCCCACCTCCTCACTTACTAGCCGAGTGACCTTGGGTCAGATACAAACTTCTCCGTGCCTCATTTTCCTCATCCATAAAATGTGAAAAATAACAGGACCTACCTCACAGAACTGTTCTAAGTATTTAATGAGTTAATATAATGTCAAGTGCTTAAAACATGCCTGGCATGTTGGAAGTGCAAGGCAAATGTCAATCACTTCTCAGGGACCAGCTCAATGTTTGGCACACTGCAGCAGTTCAAAAAACAAGAAAAAGCAAACATCTCATTCTTTTATGCTAGGCACACCAGAAAATTACAAAACACAAATGGACTCCTCTCCAGTGAGTCAGTCAAATGAAAAGACATGAAAAAGTCCCTGAAATTATTCTGCCCAGCTGCTTCCTGGCTGCCTCAAGGTGACTTGCATGCTTTGCAGTTTATCATACTACTGGTTATTGGTAAGTATGTTAATATACTACCGCTGCTTATTACACTGTTACTGCTCATATAAGATGAACACTAAGATTTCTGAAGTAATGATAACCTATCTCTATTATTGCTATTATAAGGAAAAGAAGAAAAGCTGCCAGGCCTTTCTCTCATCCCAAGTTAAAAGGCTGTGTTCTTTTTCTGTATATGACAAACCATAAAAACCGGTATCTTATTAAGCTTTAATTTCCTCAAAAGTTTGAAACTCACTCTCCGGACACAGCTCGAATATATTTTCTCTGCCTTCTATCATGCCCCCTACAAGGCAACAGAACAGACTACTTTATACTTTAATAAGGTAGTACATTTACTTCTTTTAGTCAGATGATGACAAAGCAGCAAGGTTGATGATATTCTTACTTCTGGATACAGTATAGGTTTAGAGAATCCATTATTATCTTTTGCTGAATCAAATATGACCTACTGAGATGACGGGGTAGCATTTCAGGAGTTCAGAGGTCGGAAAGAACATGACCAACATGCTACGAAACTGGGTGAGGACTTGGCCAGGTGTGTTCAAATGGGAAGCACAATGTTCTTTAGAAAATGATGTATTTGTATATTTAATCTAATCATATAAACCAGGAACAATTTTAGTAGCAGAAAATATAGGTGTGTTTACACACATACCTGTACATACATATGTAAGTGTACAATATAAAATCAGAGTTTAAGCACAAGTGACCATTTTTTAAGCATAATTAGTTCTAAGTTTACTACTTGTTTATCATGTTCCTTTCTGTCAATATGACCAGAAGTAGCAACTGTTTTAAAAAAATGTTATGGGTAAAAACAAAACAAAAAAAATATAGTCCTTATTTGGGGGGAAAAACCGTCTTGCTTAAATTTAGCAACCAACCACCTTGGTTCAGCAATGGAAGCTCTGGTGCAAGTTTGAGAATATTTACACTGGAAAAGTCAACAAATGAAACCGAGGGTTCTTTTTACTTTAATTAAATTTAGGTTTAAATCCTATCTCTAAAAACCACCTCTCTTTCTCCTCTTTCTCTCTCCATATATATCTATATTTATCTATATATCTATGTCTGTCTATCTATCTATCTATCTATCTATCTATCTATCTATCTATCTATCTATCTATCATCTATCATCTATCATCTATCATCTCCATCCATCCATCCATCCATCCATCCATCCATCCATCCATCCCTGAGACACAGCCTTTTTCCCAGATAACCAGCAACTCCTGAGGCACCAGAAGATAGTAGTAGCCTGGACCTAACAAATGACAGGCTAAAGATAACATCTTGATCTAAATTGTGTTTCAGACCCTGAGCCCTACGGTGAAACAACCCCCTGGCTACTTTCCCATGAACCAGATAAAGGGATACCAGAACAGATCTCAGAACTGTCGTCAAGACCTCAAGAAATGATTTATTACCCTTACCTCACTTCTGACCAATCGGCTCCCAGCACAACTCTGAACCTCCTAACCCATGATGTCTTGTGATTTTGCCCTATATAATCTGTAACCTACACGCCATCGAGGAGTTTGAGCTTTTGAGTATTAGCTTCCTATTTTCCTGGGTGGGACCATTCATAATAAAAGCCAGTATTTCTCCATTCCAATTCTCAGTGTCTAGTGTTTGGCTCTGCTAGGATCAGGTGGACAAACTTTTTTCTGTTCAGTAACACTAAGGTAGGCTATCGATAATGCAGAATTGAACAAGGAAGTAGCCATTGCTAAGCAATCATTCATTCAACAGGTATTTACCCAGTATCTAGCACATGCAAAAACACTGTGTCAGGCCCAGGAGGAACAATAAGGCCACTAAGAGCTGGACCTCGCCCCAATATGTTAACAGTCAGATTGAGGGAAAGAATATGCTGTTTTATAAGAGCTCAAAATACTGATAGTGAAAGTAGTTGTATGATTACTACATCTCAAGTAATTATTGTTTTGAATTAAGCAAAGTGAACCAATAAAGTGTACCTATTTACAAAAATGTATTATTCAGGGTTAGAAAAAGACTGAGCAATGAAAGACAATGATGAGTTGATCAAAGATGTGAAACATAAGAAAAAGGATCCCTCTGTTTCTTTCAAAGCTTCAGAACACCTTCAGATAACTTGTTCAGAGTCCTAACCCAATCATAATTCCTTCTTGCTTTCAGAGGTAGGGGACAGGTCCTTGGAGCAACAAGGTAATTGAGATTTCTCCAAACTGCCCTGTACTACTGCTTCCTACAACGCAAATGGAATGAGAAACAAGATCAAGATGAACCACTTTATGGTTAATAAATTCCTGTATTTCTTAGTCTACAGACTATCAAATGACACTAATAAACAGTCAATATTTCAGTATAAAGTATGTTCAAATTTATCCTGTATCAAATCAATACAAGTGATATACCAGTCCCCTGAACTTGCTTTTGCTGAAGCATTCTTAGCTCAGATCGCAGAGATTACCTAAAAGTCCTATTTACAAAGCCAACAGGGATACAGCACTTTTTCAGAAGGGAAATACTATTAATCTCAATTCTTTAGCTGAGTTTCAACCTCAGTGATGGAATTAATGTCCTTGTTCTTTGTATCTTTCTTTGGCTGCTTTATTTTTTATGCTGTTCTTAACTCCATATACGTATGATTTGGTAAGTCATATATCCTACTAAAAGGATGAAGTAACACTTTGTAGGGATAGTTGGGAGAATGAATATGTTTAGTGATTTAAAACTGAAAGTAATCCTGACTCTTGGGTTAAGATTTGTTTGTATTGAGAAGGAAAGAAACTTCCACTCTTGTGCTGTGCACCAACTAATTTTGAATCAAGAATAATTTTTTTTCAAATGCAAATCTGATCATATCACTACATTTCTTACCATTCAGTGACTTCCTATTTCCCTCAGAATAAAGTTTTTAAAGTTTCAAATCCCACCATCTGGTCCTGCCAAATTCTCAATCTTTTTACTTGTCACTCTCCCACCTTACACACTATCATCTATATAGCTATACCGCTTTTCACTTCTCAAATTTTCCACTTTTTAAATTGGCTAAGGTCTTTTCCTCATGCTATTCTTCCCCCTAGAACTTTCTTAATCCTATCCTATTCTTTGCTTAGCTAACACGAATTCATCTTTCCAGTTCCTAGTTGCCTGGCCCTAACCCTGCCCTCCCCCCCTTTCTCTTTAATCTTCCCCTGCCCTGGTTAGATGCTCTGGTAGCACCTTTGTACTTTTCCTTTGGTAGCAGCAATTGTGCTTATAATTCCTTGCTCAGTATTTATCTTTCCCACCAGACTGTGAATTCCAGGAGGACAGAGAGCCTTCTGTTTTATTCACTGTGTCCAACACTGGCACATAGAATGCACTCAATTATTGTTAAATGAATGAACAAACAAACAAATGAAAGGTCCACATGAGTATGGTCAGGATACAGAGAGAAAGTTATAAATTTGCTGTATTAACAACAGTCCCATTCATTCATAGTCCATGTTGTAAACCCTCCAAGCTGCTTCTAGACTGTGCCCCTGCTTTCCACTCTTTATTGGCAGTCTCTCTCATTTTTTTAAGAAACAAAAGTTCTTTTTCTTCCCAAGAAAAATGAGGCCATTCCCAGGTATTTACACACAAACTATGCTTTTAGAAATATCTAAGTTTGGCAACAGTGATTAAGTAACACAGTGGTTAGAGAGTCAATCAATTATGACTGTGCTGTTGTTTATGTTTTCAACTTAATAAGTATGCTGTGCATTGGATATACCCCTCTTCATTAAGAGTGGTTAATATATCATATTAATATTTGCTCATCAAAGCTAAATAATTGATTATATTTTCCTATTAAAATAGCAATGAGGGGAAAAATAATCATCTTTTTGCCATATGAAAAGCCCTTATTAGGGACTGTGGAAAATATGCCAAGCTAAGAACACACTTTAACAAATCTGGGGAACACTCATGAACACTAGCTGGGAGACAGCCTTGAGCTGGGTCATATATATATGATGTGTGGGCTTGTTTCCATCGAGAGACAGCTTGGCACTGTAGCCCAAGGGATCAAAGACCTAACTGCCAAACAGAAGCTACCATTTACAAACTGAACAAGATATCCATGTCCTCTGAACTTCAAATACTCATCTGTAAAATGTCCCCCAAGGTAGCTGCAAGACCATGAATAGTAGAGGCCTTTTTAAACAGAATATGGTCAGCAATTTAAGTTTGTAACGAATAGTAGCAGGATTACTTTCTTTAGCTAGTAACATGCTTTTCTTCTGAACTACCAGCAAACACCCACAGATGATTACAGCCATATAACAATGAGAGAGCATTCTCTTTGGAGTAGTTACTGACCAAATCAAGTAAGGATTGTTTCAAAACCACTACTTCATATTGCTCATTCGACTATCTGTTCCACAGTGACTTTCAGAGAAGTAGGTGAATAAAATTTGGTACACAGTGAAAGGTGATCAAAAATACCATTTCAAATAAAAATATTTTCAAAAGGATACCTGTTCTGTGGTTTTGAATAGAGTTCAAAGAAGTATGGAGCAGGAATAGTGGCTAAGAGCTGTACAAATTCAGACCCACTGCTACATATTTTTTCAGGGACAATACTAAGGAATAGCTATATGAGAAGACACATAACAGCAGCTAAATTAATTCTTGATGGTAACAGTTGCAGTCCCTTCTACCTATAATTTGGGTTTTCTTTGAAACTTGTAGTTCATCAATCATTGCACTCACAACGGAGGTCTGTCCTATAACTATTCTGTTGAAAAAGAGAAAAACCTGTCATCTGATATATGGTAGCAAAAAGAAGAAAAATATAATTGAAGGAGGTACTTACTCTTTGAGGTACTTGATAGTTCTAAAACAACTTTAATCAACTTAGAATATATGCACATCTGAACAAAGAGTAGAAATGATCTGGGCCTAAAGAAATAGAAAAAAATGTCCCAAATTAATACACTATTTCTTTAAAACTCAATTTGGATTCACATGGATTAGGAAAAATAATTAGCAAACATCTAAAACCAATGAGATGTTATATCAAAAAGGTGGGCAGTAAGTTTTTTTAAAAGGCAGTTTTTTCAAAAAAAAATAAAAAATATCTTTATTGATTTCAGAGAGTGGAAGGGAGAGAGAGAAAGAAACATCAATGATAAGGGGGTCGTCATAGATCAGCTGCCTCCTGCACACTCGAGGCCTGGAGATGGAGCCCTCAACCCCGGCATGTGCCCTGACCGGGAATGGAACCTCCAGGTGGATGCTCAACCGCTGAGCCACGCCCAGCCAGGCAAGGCAGTTTATTCTTAAATTCACACATTGTATGTAACATATTGAAGAAAAAACAACTCTCACTTGATGATTTGAGAAGATAGGAGATATAAGGATAAAAATCACTTTATTGTCACAGCAATAAATTGTAAACATTTGATGAATTTTCAGACCATTTTCATAACTATAGCGAAACAATAAAAAGGGCTGAGGAAACACTGTGCAGTTAATTGTCTGGGAAGTAAAATAAATTCATGATGTTTCTTTTATGCCTCTTTAATGGATACTGACACAAAACTAGGCAAAGTTGATCTGCACTGTGCATGCTAAAATTTGCAACTAGAATGCTTTTTTTTGAGTTTACAGCGCCACCAATGGCTCAATCTGCTATTTAAATATGTTTCCATGTACCTTTTTAAAGCATCAACAACTTCCTCTTCAAATACTCCTTATCTCCATTGGTAGGATGAGAAAGCACACTTGCGAACGCCTGATGACTTCCTGAATTAAGGCGTTTATCACCAGCCCTATCACGCTCATGATACATACAGAATGCTGTCCCACTGAGGTCTGCACGGAAGAGATTTCAATCGAATTTTTATTTTCTAAATGTATGTCTTGAGTAGGTTTCAAGCATAACTGCTCACTCCAAAGTTAAGGGAGATCATTTCACAATTAAAAAACACACCCTAGGATCCCTGAGCAATTATTCTACGTGCGGTCACCAAGTCTGGCCTGTAACAGAACTTGGGCTTCAGAGGAAAGCAAACGAAGCTTCCAGAGCAATCTGCACCCCCACCTTCCCTCCCCATCTCCCTCCCTGCCTCCCTCCCTGTGAGCCGCGTCCTTAGGAGCACGGAGCTGGCGGAAAGGGGGAGGAAAAAAAAAAGGAAAAAAAAAAAAAAGCTCTCTCAGTTCCAGCCAATAGGAGAGAGCGCAACGGAGGCTGTGCGCTCTCAGAACAAGCCCAGCCCAGCAACAGAGAGGGGGCTTGATCCGCCAGCAGGTCATTACACAACCCGCAGCAGCCAGTGATGCAAAAATAGCACCTTGCAGCCGCACAGCGCACGCCCTCCGGCCCCGCCGCGAGCCCGCGGCGATCCCCGCAAGGCGCTGCGCCGTTTCCACGCCCCCGTGTACAAAACAGATTTTTAAAGCTCTATCAGACACCTCTCCTCACTCAGTTTTCATACCCACAAATGGGGTCCGCACTTTTCAAAGTCCCTGATGCCCTTCGAGTTACCTATTTTACACAAAACCCTCAAATACTTACGCCAAAGACCCAGGGATCGGGCGGTTCGTCGCCGCACCTACCTGTTCCTCACGCCCGCGGCACTCCACTCGCCCACCCCGAGAGCCTCCCCGGCTCGCGCTCCCGGCGTCCCAGGAAGTGCGTTCCCGGGAGCCGCCCCGGAGGCTTCTGGGAGCCTGTCCAGGTCCTCCCGGCGCCCGAGCGGGAAGCCCTGGGAGACTACACTTCCCAGAACCGCCTGGGCCCCGCCCGGCAACATCCTGCGGTCCCCTCCCCCGCCCGGCTCCCACCTACCCTATTCTTCCCGCGCCTGTGGTTCCGTTCAGATTTGGGTTATCTTTATTGATTTTAGAGAGGGGAAAGGAGAGGGAGAGAGAGCAAGAAACATCAGTGATGAGAGAGTCATTGGTCGGCTGCCTCCCGCAGCCGCGCCCCGACTGGGGACCGAGCGGCAACACGGGCACGTGCCCTGACCGGGAATCGAACCCCAATCGCCTGGATCCTAGGTCGAAGCTCAATCGCTGAGCCCCTGCCTGTCGGGCTGGGATATAAATCTTAAAAAAAAAAAAGTTCAAAGGGAAAAAAAACCTAAAGGTGGTTTTGAGTTGAGTGCCCACGTAAATATTTCCCACTAAATGCGATGTGTCTGTAAGGTTTGTTGGCAAAAATCCTTAAATACTTTTTCCCTCTCAAAGTATTTCGCAAGGCATGAAGTGGAAAAGAGCTCAAGCTCAATAATTTATTTTGAAAATGTTAAAAAGGACAGAGACTGTGAACAGTCATATACTTACCTTCGATATTCAACAATTACCAACTTGCTGTTTAGCTTATTTCCACTTGTACGTGTAATCACTTGAAAGTAGCAGGCATCATGACACGTCAGCATCCTTTAAATTTTTAAAAATATATATTTAACTGCCTAGGTTTATATAGGGCTCTGCTACATATTTGCTGGGTGGCCTTAGGCAACTTCTCTCTGAGGTTATCTGTAAAGTGAGGATAAGATTACCTACATCATACGGTTGTCTTGAAAATTAATAGATTTAATATAGGCAAAGTGCCGAGCACGCAACTACCTATTAGAGATCTGAACTAACCTTACTCTCCTGCACAATTTCAGTTCTCCTTTCCCTTTATTTTATGGTTTCTCCTAACTGTGAAGTCCTGTATTAGTGAGTAGAATATAAAGGATTCGGAAGTCTTAGGTAGGACTGATGTGATTTTTAAAAAATAAAGGATGCTTAAGTGTCATAATACATACTACTTTCAAATGATCTCACACACACACAAATGGAGATAAAGTAAATGTGGCAAATGTTGGTAAGTGTTGAATCTAAAAAGAGTAAGTATATGAGTGTGCATTGTACTATTCTAATTCTCTGTAACTTTGAAATCTTTAAAATAAAAAGTTTGAGAAAAAGCATCATAGCTTTAAACACAAATAAAAGATGGCATCTATCTCTATCCCACTCTTCCCCTGTATGATCTTGGGAAAGTTAAGTAAACTATTTGTGCCTCAGGATCTCATCTGAAATAGTAATATATCTATATAAAAAAATAATGGTGAAGCCCTGGCTGGTATGGCTCACTTGGTGGAGTGTCATCCCATGCACCAAAAGGTTGCCGGTTTAATTCCTGGTCAGGGCACATTCCCTGGGTTTTGAGTTCAGACCTAGGTAGGGGGCATGCAGGAGGCAGCTGATTGTTTTGCTCTCATATGGATGTTTCCCTCTCTCCCTTTCTCTCCCCCCCTCCCTTTCCCTTCCCTCACCCTCCAAAAATAATACAAAATCTTAACAAACAAACAAAAAAACCCAACCAGTTAGGCAATCTTGCATTTTCAACAACGTGGATGGTCCTTGAGGGAATTATGCTAAGTGCAGTTAGTGAAAGACAAATACTGGATGATCTCACTTGTGTATGTAATCTGAAATACAAACAAAAAAACCCCACAAGCTCATAGGTACAGAGAACAGATTAGTGGTTGCCAAAAATGGGGGGGGGG